CAGATGGCCATCCAGCCTCTGTTTAAAGACCTCCAAAGAGAGAGACTCTGCCATCCTCCATTGAGGCTGCAGAGCCTCCTTCCATTGTCTAACAGCTCTTACTATCAGGACATTCTTCCTAATTTCTTGTGGGTTTTTCGGGCTGTGTGGCCATGTTCTAGAAGAGTTTCTATCTGACGTTTCGCCAGCATCTGTGGCTGGCATTCTTCCTAATGCTGAGGTGGGCCCTCATCTCTTGCACTTTGAGACACGACAGAGCCATCTTTAAACACCTGAAGAGATATCAGGTGGAAGATGGAGTGAGGCTGTTTTCTGCTGCTCCAGAGTGTAGAGCATGAACCAAAGGATGCAAATTGCAGGAAAAGAGAATCTATCCAAACATTAGGAAGAACCTTTTGATTGTTTGAGCCGTTTGAGAATGGCATATGGACTGCCTTGAAGAGTGGTGGATTCCCCTTCTTTGGGGCTCTGGATGGGCATCTCTTTAGTTGGGTGGGTATTCCTGCGTGGCAGAATGGGGCTGGACTAGATGGCTCCTGGGGTCCCTTCCAATTCTAGGACTCTGTGACTTAGGATCCCCCAAGCACCCTCGGACAAATGCCCCACATGGACTGCCCCCCTTCCCCAAATCCATCCATGAATTCGTACATGGAAGGACAGCAGAGGTTTCCCTTGAGAGACCAAGTGGGGCATTAAGGCTCCTGGTCTGACTCTCACCACATCATCCACAGAAATGAAGGCATCTTTCTCATACCAAAGGGGTCACCAGGGACAGAGGGAGGGAGGGTGTGTGTCCGTCCGTCCGTCCGTGCCCGTGTCCACTTATTTATTTATATAATGATCTTTTAATCTGCTTGGATTATTTCATGGTTTTAAACTGTCCCAGTCTATTTCATTCAGTTTTACTTGTAGGTAGATATTGTATTGCCCAGACTCCATGTTGTATACAAATAAATTCAGATTAAAGCAAACACATTAAAACAACGCAAAACAATGAAAATAACTAAAGAAGATTTAAAGCATATTAAATAATTCAACAAGAATTCCAAAATCTCCTCCATTCTGAGCATGACTAAGAAGCATGAGTTTATACAGTGGTACCTCGACATACGAGTTTAATTTGTTCCGTAACCTTGTT